TATACCTTAAAGGATACTCTTATATTTTTTAATTTTAAAGTTAATTTTATTTACCTGCAGGCACCGTGTCGGCTTAAATGGCCTTAATCAGGCTCTCATCAGGCTGCTATATCTCTATACCACTAAATACTGGGGAAACAATCCGAAAACTACATGTATCTCTTAATCCCGATGCTCTGGAATCGCCAATCTGGATTCTACGCGAAGTCGCGTCTCAGGCTCGAAATGGCTACTTTTCTTCTGCTAATCTGGCAAGCGTGCTTTCTGCTTGCAATACAAATCAGTCACGTGATGGATCTGCCTCAACCAAGAATAGCATTGTCGCGACACCAAGAGTCCCAAAACCAGCATACAAGCCATGAAGAACTGCAACCTAACAGGTTGCTCTACCGGGTCTACTTGCCCACAGGACAGGAGTTTGTGTATCTAGCGGGCAGGAATCAGCTATACCAAGTTAAAGCAACAAGCCTCAAAATTCTGGCTATACGTAAAACTGGTCCAAAGAGATTCTCCGTATTCTGCATTTCTGGTGATGAAGCCTGTGTTCAATGTCCTCCGCTACCACGTGAGCACGCCCTTTTGGCCGACCTACCTGCAGAGCTTGGTGGCGTCGGTAGTGGTGATTGTTCGCCTAGAGATACAGATAGCCTAGTCAAGGCCTGGACCACTGTAGCCTCGGCTTCGGTACAGGACTTTGGTGCTGGTGAGATACGCACAACAAAAGAAGATATCCTCTACGTTTGTTATACCATCTTCCACGGAGTATGTGAACGACTTCTGCTGACCAACATCAGCCTTCAGAGCCCATGGCTACCGCCTGGATCCAGTAATCGCCGAAGACCCTCCACATCGGCAAGTCTTTCTGGTCGGGCCGATCCGAGTTCGGTTGATGAGATTAACGCAACGACTTTGGTGCCTGTGGTTGGCTTTCATCCAGATGCCAAGGCAGTGTTAGTTGCCACGCGCCACCTACTCTACATCGCCTCTGAACCTGACGGTTTGCAGGAGGTAACCTTGCTCAGTTTGCCAGCACTCGCCGTCCGAAGGCCCGACTTCCGTCTAGCTCTGTCACGCTTTCAACCAGACAGGTCACTTCAACTTCGCCACGACTACCTACCTGGCCAATTGGCACGCTTACGGTATACTACAGGCTTTCGGTATTCCCCACCGGGACTCGAGCTCCAGTCAATCCGTGGCCAGTTGCCTCCCGGGATCAGCGATGGAAACAAGTACCCAGGTCGCCGAGGCTACATCTACTTTGTCCTCGAGCAGATGTCACCGACGTCAACTTCTGCCCGATGGGCTTGGCAAGTGCGTGTCGCTCGTATATGTGAGGGAGATACACACTTCTATTCATACGTGGAGCTGGAGATTCACACGCCGGAATTTGATTATGTAGGCAGACCTTTTTAATTATAAATGAGCCTATGACTAACGTACCAATTATGCGGACATCCAAATTGTCTTTAAGATATACTTATTTCTTTACCTTGGAATGGGTTACGTTGTTCGATAATTTAGATACGCCAGAAACTTGCCTCTTAAAGAATCAAGGTTTCAGCCTATTTATATTTTTTGTTATCTTTCCATTCGGACATTATGCTAAAAGTGTCTGATCATTGAAGTCTATCTGTTGCTTTATATTTTAGATTCACAATAATGAATTATATCAATATTTAGATACTACATTACATAGGATTGAAGCGAGCCATTTTGGCATCATAAGTTGGTAAAAGTGTAGATGCAAAGATTAACTGAGTTTCGATTTATCTCCTGAGATAATATTGTTCGGGAGACTTTCATCTCGTTTGAAAGTACATGAAGGAGAGATTCGAAGGTCGATCTCACCAGAAGACGACAGCTGATTTCCGATGTGCTGCAGCCATTTTTATCAAATACAATATTCAGGTTGACGCTGTCCACGAGATATCCTCCCTCGTTTCTAGAGGAAATGAGCTGAGCTTTTGCCCATCACATGTCGGACATTATCAGAGCTGGAACTCATTCTCGTTAAAGTCTTAAGTTAGCATTAGATCTAGAAGACTCATAAGACCTTGACCGAGTGCTAGCCTAAGACTTTTACAAGAATGCGTTTCAGCTTTGATGATGTCCATAATATGATGGACAAAAGCTCCGCCCATTTTCATCAGAAACGAGAGGGGATGTCTCGTGGACTGCGTCCGCCTGAACGTGGTATTAAAGACGAATGGCTGTAGTACAACGGAAATCAGTCGTTGTTTTCTGGTGAGATCGACTACCTTTTAATCTCTCATTCATGCACCTTCATACGAAATGAAAGTCTCCCCAATAGGATATATTTGAGCAAATCTCTGGTCAGAATAATTGGGGCCTTAACGACTATTTAAACTAGTCATAGAAACCAATTTAATACTTTAAAAACTTTAACTTTCAGCCGTTACCTAATTGTCATTTTGATCGTCTTAAATAGATAGGCGCTAAGTTAAACCCTACTCGTTGAATTTATACCACTTCGGCAAGACTAACATTAGTATTTGGTCTATTAACTAGCATACATTTCCAAATGGTAGCAGGACTAGGCTACATGGCTGCTCGAGATAGAATAAGGGACTTTAAAAGTCATTTAATGGGTAGAATGTGATATCCCAACTAATAAATAAAACTGAGTCATGAATGTGACTGGTATAAATGATTAGGAGCATTGAATTTGATGAAATTATATCTGGATTTAGCAAGAATACTTTGAGGGTGCCTTATTAAATCAATCTTTTCCTAATTAGGGTTAAATAAAATATAGAAGAAATATGTTTTAAAATGCAGGATATGACTCGCAGAGTTGACTAATAGCACCCAATAGAGCTTAAGGATACAATTGGGTAAAATTTTCTGTAACCATATTAAGCCAAATAGAATGTCATAAATAGTTGGAATTGCTAGTAGCACAGAGTTCCCTACAGGTGCAAATAATAGTCTAGAAAATAATAATAGTGAATCTGAAAGATCTAATTCTGTTATAGCTCATATAAGCAACAATGAGTTATTATTCTCCGCTTTCTTGGACTGAGTGCATTTTATACCCAATAGTGGGGCTTTTCTTCAAGTGTATATAGAAGTTCAATGTTAAATGCTAAATGCTCCAAAGGCGGCACCTTTTTTTCAAAATAAAAAAAATTATATTCTTATTCCAATTATAAAAGGCTTCGATACGTGATAAAGCAACCAGTATTACATTCTCTTCAGAATATTTTAAAAGTACAATTGATTTCTTTTGTCTGATGCAAGAGTTCACAATCCAGTTGTGCGAAACATCAGTTCTGAAAACCATTTTCGGCCTCTTTGGATATGCAATATTAGTTAAGTTATTTTAATGAATATTTCATGCTTTGACTATTTTGTGTAGGTCGAAACAACCTGATCCCTCTGAACAACAAACATGCTTTGTATTCAAATGTTTCCTAGAGAAGCAGGTTTGATCTGTCTATAAGATAGACAGATTCCTTTGGAGAGCGTGCCATGAATGAGTTTGCAAGTAAATGCTCTACAAACTTGATCAAGCTGCCCAGCTTTGTAAAGCTTAATATACTATTTTCCGTGATCTTTGATTACTCGCTTAAGCGACACCACCGTGATAACGTTTCTTCCATATTTCCTACTGGGGAAAGATTCTGTCCATTGTTCATCCATATACACTGTCACTTAATATTTATGCTTAATACTGGTTAGAGCCTTATTCTGCTTCCCATTTCTGGGAATTCTAATGAAGACTAGATCTTCTCCTGCATAGGCTTCACCGGCAATCCCGAAAACCTACCTATAAGGCAAAAATAATAAGTGTAGTCAATTGTCATACAACTCTGTAGTTAATGTGTAGGGACCGCATTATCCGGTTTCGAGTCCCACTGGGAGTGCTGATGTGACCTTGGTGAGGTCGGAACTGCAGTCCACC